TATATTTTGTGAACAGTTCATGTCTTTTGCCTATTCTGCCAGGTTTTTGACATGCATCCCCTGAATTTATACGAGTTCTGTGTATTTTAGGGATATCAGCCCTTGATGACACCTTATGTTAAATTCCCGTATGTTTTTGGGTCTGTTTCTGGACTCTGTTTCATTTCACTGGTCTCTGTGTGTGTGTGTGTGTGTGTGTGTTGGCACCACACTATTTTAGGCAGTAAGGTATTATAGTGTTTCATATGTCAGCTTATTTTATAAGTCAATTTTCATGGCTTTTCTAGCATTTTCTAGTTATTTTCACATTTATTTTTTTAAATATATTTTATTGATTATGCCATTACAGTTGTCCCATTTTCCTCCCTTCACTCCCCTCAGCCCTGCACTTCCCGTCCCACCCACATTCCCTGCCTTTTAGTTCATGTCCATGGCTCATTCGAACAAGTTCTTTGGCTTCTACATTTCCCATACTATTCTGAACCTCCCCCTATCTATTTTCTACCTACCATCTATGCTCCTTATTCTCCGTACTTTTTCCCCCTCTCTCCCCCTCTCACTCCCCTGTTGCTAACCCTCCCTATGATCTCCGTTTCTGCGTTTCTATTCCTGTTCTAGTGGTTTGCTTAGTTTGCTTTTGCTTTTGTTTCAGGTGTGGTTGTTAATAACTGTGTTTGCTGCCATTTCAGTGTTCATATTTTTATCTTCTTTTTCTTAGATAAATCCTTTTAACATTTCATATAATAAGGGCTTGGTGATGATGAACTCCTTTAACTTGACCTTATCTGAGAAGCGCTTTATCTGCCCTTCCACTCTAAATGGTAGCTTTGCTGGACACAGTAATCTTGGATGTAGGTCCTTGCGTCTCATGACTTGGAATACTTCTTTCCAGCCCCTTCTTGCCTGCAAGATCTCTTTTGAGAAATCAGCTTACAGTCTGATGGGAACTCCTTTGTAGGTCACTGTCTCCTTATCTCTTGCTGCTTCTAAGATTCTCTCCTTAATTTTAATCTTGGGGATGTGCCTTGGTGTGTTTCTCTTTGGGTCCAACTTCTTTGGGACTCTCTGAGCTTCCTGGACTTCCTGGAAGTCTATTTCCTTTGCCAGATTGGGGAAGTTCTCCTTCATTATTTGTTCAGGTAACTTTTTCATTTGTTGCTCTTCCTCTTCTCCTTCTGGTACCCCTATAATTAGGATGTTGGAAAGTTCAAAGATGTCCTGGAGGTTTCAAAGCCTCTCCTCACTTTTCTGAATTCTTGTTTCTTCATTCTTTTCTGGTTGGATGTTTCTTTCTTCCTTCTGGCCCACACTTGTTGATTTGAGTCCCAGTTTCCTTCCCATTACTACTGATTCCCTGTACATTTTCCTCCATTTCACTTAGTGTAGCCTTCATTTTTTTCATCTAATTTGTGACCAAATTCAACCAATTCTGTGAGCATCCTGATTGCCCATGTTTTGAACTGTGCATCTGATAGGTTGGCTATCTCTTCATCATTTAGTTGTAATTTTTCTGAAGCTCTGATCTGTTCTTCCATTTGGGCCATTTTTTTTTTGTCTTGATGCACCTGTTATGTAGTGAGGGGTGGAGCCTCAGGTGTTCACCAGGGCGGGGTAACGGACGTCACTGTGTTGTGACACTGTATGTGGGGAAGGGGTGGAGAGGGAACAGTTGCACTTGCTCCGCTCTCTGTCAGATTTCAGTCACTTCCCCCACTTCCCACAAGCAAATTGGGTCCTTCTGGTGCTGATTTCCATGTGGGTGGGTTTGTGTATGTTCCAGGACCCTGTGGGTCTCTCCAATGAACTCTCCCTGTGAGGCTGGGAGTCTCTCCTGGTGCCTCAACCCCCACAGGTGTTTTCAATCAGTGGTTTGAGGCTTTACTTCCCCTGTGTTGCCACCCTGGGTTGCGCAGTCCATCCTGCTCCCCAGGTGTTTCTCCCAGTTTATCTGCATGGGAAGGTGGGACCACCCAGTCTTCAATCCTCCATCTCACTGGGTCTGCCCACTGCTGCCTTGCTGGCCAGCTGCAGCCTTGCATGCCCTGCTCCACAATCTGCCACCTCACTGGGTCCTCTAGCCACCACCTTGCCTCGAGTGGTCTCTGCCAGGCTGCCTGTCTCTGCCCTTTCTACTGGTCTGGATGAATGTGTCTTCTATAACTCCTTGGTTGTTGGGCTTTCATACAGTTGGATTTTCTGTCAGTTATGGTTGTTTTTTGCCTTTAAATTATTGTTGTCCTTCTTTTGGTTGTGTGAGGAGGCACAGTGTGTCCACCTACGCCTCTATCTTGCTTGGAAGTCTCACCTTTATTTTTTCATATGAACTTTACTATCAACTTTTCAAACCTCATAGAGTATTTGGTGTTATCTTTATTGAGATTGTATTGCATTTATAAATGGACTTAGGGAGATAGAACATTGAGCAATCCTATCTAAAACCAAGAAACATTTAAATCTACTTTGGTCTTTCAGGAATAGTTTACATTTTTGTCATATTATTTTTGCACATTTCTTGCCAAGTTTAATGTAAGAAAAGTTGTTCATTTCTTATGGATCCTATATTTGTGAATTTACCTACTTACTAAAATTTGTTTGTAGCTGCAAAATCAATACTCAAGGCATTTGGCAGATATGTGTATGCTCAGTGTTAAAAATGTGGCTCACCTTTCTTCTTTCTTTCAGCTCTTAGTGGGAAAAACTGCCCTTTCACTTAGTGGCATATTTAGTGCCATGTGTTTCATGTTTCTGTGCTTCCTGTTGATTCCACTGCTTAAGTGGCCCTGAGCGTTGTGCTGAAGTGCTGTCCAGTGTTCCTGTGTGTGAGAAGGCTGTGAGGTGAGCAGCAAAGAAATTAGGTGTTAGATTGAGCTTCATTCAGGCATGAGCAATAGTGCTGTTCGCCATGAGTTCTATGTTAATAAATCAACAACATAGATTAAATAAGATGTTGTTAAACAGAAACCCATGCAAAAGGTTACATACTGATCAGTTGGTGGAAATGATGTGACCAAACAGGAATCCAGTCCTGTTCTTCTCCTAAGCACAATGCTTCTATATTAGCTGAATTTAGTGCTGGAAAGGCCTTTATAGAATATAACTGCCACAAATAATGGAAATTGACTCTTTTTATTTTATTTGTTGCTTTATAAGGTGAAACATTTATATGATGTAAAGAGAAACCAGAGTATTATTTGTTGCTATTATAAATGAGGTTTTCTCTATCAGTACAACTTCTAGTTAATCATTGTGTACATGAAAACTACTGATTCCTGCATGTTAAATTTCTGTCCTGCCACTGGACTGAGCTATTGTTATTGCTTGAGTTGGCACCATCATAGATTCTTTCAGGTTTTTCAGGTATACTTTTCATCACATGCAATTATAATTTTACTTCTTCAATTCCATTTCCCTAATTAATTTTTCTTGTCTAATTGTGTTGGCTATAACTCCTCCCCCTTTTATAAGGATAGTTTTCATCTATGTGGAAATGCTCTGAGTTGATAATGGACTATGTCATTGATCCATAGACTCCTGGAGTTGAACTTAGAGGCACTGTTGGCAACTCTGTTACTTGATGCATGGATCTTTTTTTATATCACTTAAGTGGTCATCCAACCTCTTCTTGAACACCTGTGCCTTTTCTTTTGGTAAGAGCTCATCTCTCTGTTTCAGGGAGTAACCCTGTACCCATTCCACATAGTTCTGTGTGGCTGTCAATCACTTCACCCTGATGCCCCACCCTAACTTATGATCCATGGTAATTACATAGGGTGGCCATAAAATCTGTACACATAGCTGTTATTTTTTATAGATTGAACCCCTTTTGTTACTTCTGGCACACACTAAAGATGCACATTTATTCAGTGACAAACACATGCATTACCCGAGGCAACGCTCACAGAAGTACATGCTGCAGTCTAGAGGCTGTCTCACCTTGTTTCTTTCTCAGGGATTGCTACCCATGTCCAGTGTTTTGGAAGCTGTTGTTAAATACATTTTATCAAGTTCTTATTTGTTTCGGATGGGGGAGGGGATTCAGTTTTCTATTATTCCATGTTGGCCGGAAGTGCAAATACTCTGTAGCTACTTTCCCCAGCACATCAACTGGGCATTATCAATGAAGGATGACACATTGGACATATTACTTAATGTCATGGAGTATATCATGCTTTGTAACACTACATCAATAAACTATTATTATGTGTATTTTTCCTGTACTCCTTCATACCTGCACTCCTCTGGAGATGAAGAAACGTAGAATAGAGAGAGAAGGTGAGCATTCAAAAGTCTGAGGTTTCTCTGGAGCCTGGCACAATGTCAACACTCAATTGCTTCTTGGGTAATTGATAAAGGAATGCAGGCTCACATGAATGCACGCAGGCATGAATAAATTACAGCCACTGGAGGAATGGTTTCTGCCCTGCCTCACCCGTTCTCCACTGTGCAGACCAAACCTGGGCTCCAGAACCTTCCTGCCTGGGAGAAACCCTGGGCTCTGTCTGGGTGGCAGCACCCCCACCCCACAACTCCCTGTCTTGTTCTGGATCGTCTCCTCACTCCTTAATTCCTTCCTCACTGCATTCTGCTTATAGCTTAATGCTGAGCTCCTGTCCCTTTTCCTTCCACATTTTTGGAAATGGATTCCTCTTTAAATTTCTTTGACATAAACTTGGTGGTTCCCTAGCTTTCAGAAATGTGAACATCACTTTTAATGAGGTTGTGAATTTTTAGAGTATTAGAATGCTGCCCTAGCTTTTGCAAAAGCATCCAATATAGTTATTATTATTAATCTGTATACCATTATTACCTAGCCCTAAAGCTATTATATTGATCAGAAGTGACTTGAATGAGCTTTGTCATTTGTGAAATTAATAAAGCTAATTTTACTAAGATATTAATAGAGTTGAATACTTTTACATGTTATTGCTAAAATATGTTCAAGGAAAGCAGTAACACACAACCCAATAGTTTTGAAATGTTTCCAATGTAAGAGCCTTTATTCTGGTTCCACACTCAATTAGAGGTACCTACAACAGACTACAGACAAAAATAATTAGGGAGGGATACAAATCTCCAGAAAGCAATAAATAGGGAATGTTCAGTGTTGCAGCTCTCATACAAGTTACTAGGTCTTAATTTCAGTCTTAACACTAAATAATAAAATCTCTAATTCATATGAGAAAATCCACTTAAAACAAGACTTCAGGCTTGGATTATAATTAACTTCCAAAAATTTGAAAATCCTATGATAGTAATCCATCAGATTAAACTCTAGGCACAGAGAGTCTACCAGAAAACTGAGTACAGTTTTGTGAGGCCAGGGAAAAGAACAGGATAAAAAATAGAAAAGCCAAACAATAAGCTCACACAGGTGGTAGGGGATGGCAGGGAAGTCTACCTTTGTTACAAACAGGGACAGCAGGGGTGGCATGGAGGAGGGCATCCTTACCTTGCATAGGGGCTAGGTCCACTGTGTCAAGGGGCTGAGGTCTGGGAATACCTGGAGGAATGCAGACTCTCTTAAACATAGCTGCTACTACACTGCTTTAAGGTTTCTCGGTGACGGTCCCGGCCTTTTGCTGCTGTGGGTGGTTCTAGGAGTGCAGACAGAGCTGCTCAGGTGGAGGTGTGGCAGCAATGGTGAGGCTGGCTGACTCCTAAACCCTGGGCTGGGGAACTTTTCAGGGGAAGTGGATGTCAGTATTACTTAAGATATTAGAGTTTTTGCTGCACTGGGACCAAAACTGGCCCAGAAACTGGGGAGTGATCTCACGTGCACTACTCTTGAGAGAGATTTCAGGGTGTTCCAGAGATAAACAATGTCGTCCCCCCTCCCACCTTGGTGTGTCTCTTGGGGAAGGACTCTTGGGACCTGTTGCCATGAAAAGGGTCCTCTGAGTCTGAGGACGCCACTTCCAGGAGAGGCAGCCTCTTGGCAGGCTTCTTTTTCTTTCTTCTAGGGTTCTCCTGTCTCAGCTCTCGTAAATCTGTGGCGCCAGCTTCCTTGGTTGGCCTAATAAGGAATGTTGAGTTCCTCATGTCCACATTCTCCCTAGAGAGCAGAAATCACGGTTACCATGGTCTTGACAACCACTGTGTCTACAGAGAGATCCAAGCCAAGAGATAACAAGTGTTGGTGAGGATGTGGAGAAAAGGGAACCCTTGTGCATACTGGTGGGAATGTAAATTGGTGCAACTACTATGAAAACAGTATGGAGGACCCTCAAAAAACTAAAAATAGAACTACCATACAATCCAGCAATTCCACTTCTGGGTATTTATCCAAAGAAACTGGAATACTATCTTGAAGAGGTATCTGCTCCCCTATGTTCATTGAAGCATTATTCATAACAGCTAAGAAAATGGAAGTATCCATCAATGGATGAATGGGTAAAGAAAATATAATACTTATATATAATGGAATATTACTTAGCAGTAAACAAGAAGGAAATCTTGCCATTTGTGACAACATTATTGGAACCTGAGGGTATGATGCTAAGTGAGATATATCAGAGAAAGACGAAGACTGTGATCTCGCTTATGTGAAAGCTCAAATAAGCCAGACTCACAGAAACAGAGTAGAATGGTGGTTGCCAGGCTAGGGATGAAGGTGAGGGACAGGGAGAGAGATTTTTCAAAGGGTAGGAAAAAACAAAGAATATATTGGACAATTTATTTATCCAGAAGTGTCTTTCAAAGGAGGCATCTTGGGAACACCTTGACCTCATTTCAGCTGTGCCATTGTGGCACACCATTTTGGGGACTTGTCTTTTGCAGAGCTTTCAGGGTAAGTTAAGGACACCAGATGCCTGGTGTTAAAACACATTTTGTTCCCATAATCAGTATCTGCCACCTTGATCACCCAGCCTTCACTCTGAATAACTTTGATGATAGTTGTTTCAGATCCTTTTGGAAATTGTCAAGAAAAATTAATAGGGTGGAAAAAGATTTTTAGTTATTTCTAAAGAGAAAAATTCCATTGATCAAATCCCTTTTCAAAGGATTAAGATTTACCATGTGTTATACTTATCAAAGATTGACTCAAACATTCTAGAGGTAACTTCCAAGAGATATTAAAACATTGGTTTTATGATTTCATACCCATTAGGATAGCTATTATCAAAACGAAAATAAATAAAACCCCAAAATAACAAGTGTTGGCAAGGATATAGAGAAACTGGAACCCTTGTGCACTATTGGTGGGAATGTAAAATGGTGCAGCTGCTCTGGAAAACAGTATGGCAGTCCCCCAAAATATTAAAAATAGAACTATCATATGATTCAGCAATTCCTCTTCTGATTATACACCCACAATGAAAGCAAGGACTGAAACAGATATTTGAACACACATGTTCATAGCTGCACTATCCACATAGCCAAAAGGTAGAAGCAACCCAAGTGTTCATTGACAGATAAATGGGTAAACAAAATATGATATACACATCAATGGGATACTATTCAGCCTTTGAAAAAGGAAGTCCAAAATAATCCAATTAAAAAATGAACAAAGGACCTGAACAAACACTTCCCCAAGGAGGACATACAGAGGGCCCAGAGACATATGAAAGGATGCTCAGCATCACTAGCAATCAGAGAGATGCAAATTAAAACCACAATGGGATACCACTTCACAACTGTAAGAATGGCCATCATTAATAAGTCAACAAACTACAAGTGCTGGTGAGGTTGTAGAGAAAAGGAAACCATAATGCACTGTTGGTGGAAATTCAGACTGGTGCAGCCACTATGGAAAATAGTATGGAATTTCCTCAGAAAACTAAAAATGGAACTGCCTTTTGACCTGGAAATTCCACTTCTGGGATTATACACTAAGAATCCCAAAAGAACCTATGAACCCCAATGTTCATAGCAGCGTTATTTATAATAGCCAAGTGCTGGAAGCAACTGAGATGCCCATCAGTAAATGAGTGGATAAAAAAACTGTGGTACATTTACACAATGGAATACTGTATTTTTCAGACTATAAGATGTACTCCCCCCCAAATTTGGGAGAAAAAGGGGTGTGTGTCTTAGAGTCCAAATGTAGCTTACCTGGCTCACTGTGGGTGGTGGTGGTGGTGGAGTGGGGTCACAGGAGGCAGGAGCAGAGTCACTGCATTTTCCTCCCAAATTTGGGGGGTAGGTGCATCTTATAGTCAGAAAAATATGGTACTTTGCAGCAGAAAGAAAGAAGGAACTCTTACCCTTAGCAATAGCATGGATGGAACTGGAGAGCATTATGGTAAGTGAAGCAAGCCAGGTGGTAAAAGACAAATACCATATGATCTCACCTTTATGTGGAACCTAATCAATAAAGCAAACAAGCAAGCAAAATGTAACCAGAGACACAGAAATAAAGAACAAACTGACAGTAACCAGAGGGGAGGGGATAACAGGCAAAAAAAAAAAAAGGGGAAGTCATCAAGGAACATGTATAAAGGACCCATGGACAAACCAAAGGAGGGTAGGATGGAGGGTGGGAGAGGGGGGTTGGTGGGGTTGGGGAGAGTGTGTACGGGGGAATGGAGACAACTGTATTTGAACAACATTTAAAAAAAAATCAAAAGATAAAAAAATAAATAATAAAGAAGGAAGTCTAGCATTTGATATAACATGGATGAACCATGAGGGAATTATGCTAAGTAAAACAAGCCAGTCACAAAATGACAAATACTGTTTGATTCCACTTACATGAGGTCCCTAGAGTAGTCAAGTTCATGGAGATGGGAAGTAAAAAAAAAGGGTGGTTGCTAAGGCCTGGGGGTTAGGGGAATGGGCAGTTAGTGTTCAGTAGTTACAGAATTTCAGTTTGGGATAATGAGAAAGGTCTGAAGAGGGATAACAGTGATGGTTGCACAATAATGTGAGTTATACTTAATGTTACTGAACTGTATGCTTAAAATGATTAAAATGGTAAATTTTGTGTTACATTTGTGTATTTTACCATAATAAAAAAAGGCCTGAGCAATAGCAGTAGCATTAGAAAAAGGCTTCCCAGGAGGCCACCATCAAAATTACCTTTAAATATAAGGCCAGCACCTGTGTGGACCTGTAGGTCCTGTGAGGCCAGATTCTCAGAGACTCATCTGGAAATCACACTACCAGGTTGTAATTATCAGCCTTGTTCCTTGAAATCTAAAGTCTTATGCACCACATTACCATCAATTATCCCTCAAATTGCTACCTCCCTCCAAAGCAGACTAGGATGATACATACGATTTCCCTTTCAGAGGTTTTTATGTCTGTCTCATGGATTAGAATTCATTACAATCCAGTCTCTGACCTATAACCTCTCAGAGAGAATAGTGACAAGGTAGTAGGGGTAGGAAGTAGTTTTTCAGGTATAGTGAAAGCACCCAAAGAGTGAGGTAGAGGAGAGGCCCGCCTACCTACCTGAAGGGCCCCAGGGAAAAGATGGATCTTGGAAGGAACCCAAGAAGAGGAGCAAGAAAGACTAAGAAGCACTGTGTGTCTAGCCCTCAGTAGGGGGTCAGTCACATTTTATAAGTTATGGAACACCTGAATAATTAAATTCTGAGAAAGTGATCATGAAACAGTAGGTATTCTTATCACACAGAGACAAATAATCTATTGTTAAGTGGAAAAAAGTTACAAAACAGAATGTATATTAGGTTTTCATTCTTGTTAAGATTGTGAATGTGTACAAGGTGACTGGAAGCCTTTGCATTAGTCTTTTAATAGTTGCCCCAGGGAAATGGATTTCAGTAGAATTGACACATATTCACATTTTAAAACATTTTTTGCAACCATCACCAAGGACAAAAAGAAACAAAGATTTTTATTCTGAGTAAAAAGAATCAACACAGAAAACACTCTCAAAGAATATATATCAAATATAAATGGTGATTACTTTTGAAATGTGGGACTATTGTCTTTATATTTTTAATTTTTTAATATATTTTATTGATTATGCCATTACAGTTGTCCCATTTTCCTCCCTTCACTCCCCTCAGCCCTGCACTTCCCGTCCCACCCACATTCCCTGCCTTTTAGTTCATGTCCATGGCTCATTCGAACAAGTTCTTTGGCTTCTACATTTCCCATACTATTCTGAACCTCCCCCTATCTATTTTCTACCTACCATCTATGCTCCTTATTCTCCGTACTTTTTCCCCCTCTCTCCCCCTCTCACTCCCCTGTTGCTAACCCTCCCTATGATCTCCGTTTCTGCGTTTCTATTCCTGTTCTAGTGGTTTGCTTAGTTTGCTTTTTGCTTTTGTTTCAGGTGTGGTTGTTAATAACTGTGTTTGCTGCCATTTCAGTGTTCATATTTTTATCTTCTTTTTCTTAGATAAATCCTTTTAACATTTCATATAATAAAGGCTTGGTGATGATGAACTCCTTTAACTTGACCTTATTTGAGAAGCGCTTTATCTGCCCTTCCACTCTAAATGGTAGCTTTGCTGGACACAGTAATCTTGGATGTAGGTCCTTGCGTCTCATGACTTGGAATACTTCTTTCCAGCCCCTTCTTGCCTGCAAGATCTCTTTTGAGAAATCAGCTTACAGTCTGATGGGAACTCCTTTGTAGGTCACTGTCTCCTTATCTCTTGCTGCTTCTAAGATTCTCTCCTTAATTTTAATCTTGGGGATGTGCCTTGGTGTGTTTCTCCTTGGGTCCAACTTCTTTGGGACTCTCTGAGCTTCCTGGACTTCCTGGAAGTCTATTTCCTTTGCCAGATTGGGGAAGTTCTCCTTCATTATTTGTTCAGGTAACTTTTTCATTTGTTGCTCTTCCTCTTCTCCTTCTGGTATCCCCTATAATTAGGATGTTGGAAAGTTCAAAGATGTCCTGGAGGTTTCAAAGCCTCTCCTCACTTTTCTGAATTCTTGTTTCTTCATTCTTTTCTGGTTGGATGTTTCTTTCTTCCTTCTGGCCCACACTTGTTGATTTGAGTCCCAGTTTCCTTCCCATTACTACTGATTCCCTGTACATTTTCCTCCATTTCACTTAGTGTAGCCTTCATTTTTTTCATCTAATTTGTGACCAAATTCAACCAATTCTGTGAGCATCCTGATTGCCCATGTTTTGAACTGTGCATCTGATAGGTTGGCTATCTCTTCATCATTTAGTTGTATTTTTTCTGAAGCTCTGATCTGTTCTTCCATTTGGGCCATTTTTTTTTTGTCTTGATGCACCTGTTATGTAGTGAGGGGTGGAGCCTCAGGTGTTCACCAGGGCGGGGTAACGGACGTCACTGTGTTGTGACACTGTATGTGGGGAAGGGGTGGAGAGGGAACAGTTGCACTTGCTCCGCTCTCTGTCAGATTTCAGTCACTTCCCCCACTTCCCACAAGCAAATTGGGTCCTTCTGGTGCTGATTTCCATGTGGGTGGGTTTGTGTATGTTCCAGGACCCTGTGGGTCTCTCCAATGAACTCTCCCTGTGAGGCTGGGAGTCTCTCCTGGTGCCTCAACCCCCACAGGTGTTTTCAATCAGTGGTTTGAGGCTTTACTTCCCCTGTGTTGCCACCCTGGGTTGCGCAGTCCATCCTGCTCCCCAGGTGTTTCTCCCAGTTTATCTGCATGGGAAGGTGGGACCACCCAGTCTTCAATCCTCCATCTCACTGGGTCTGCCCACTGCTGCCTTGCTGGCCAGCTGCAGCCTTGCATGCCCTGCTCCACAATCTGCCACCTCACTGGGTCCTCTAGCCACCACCTTGCCTCGAGTGGTCTCTGCCAGGCTGCCTGTCTCTGCCCTTTCTACTGGTCTGGATGAATGTGTCTTCTATAACTCCTTGGTTGCTGGGCTTTCATACAGTTGGATTTTCTGTCAGTTATGGTTGTTTTTTGCCTTTAAATTATTGTTGTCCTTCTTTTGGTTGTGTGAGGAGGCACAGTGTGTCTACCTACGCCTCCATCTTAGCCAGAAGTCTATGGATGGTTTTTATATTCTTTCGCTTTTTGCTTTTATTTCTAAATCATATTAACTATGCATTACTTATGAAATAGGAATAAAGCACTACAGGTTGTCATGATTAGAATAAAAAGCAGAATGGGATTTTGATTGAGGAATAGTGTTTACTACAACCAAGCAGATGCTGCTTGTTCACTCTATTATACTCTCCAGAATGACTGACATTGACCAAGTTCAAGATATTCTACTAGGAAATGTCCTCTCATTGGGGGATGTGACAGCTCTGAGCCACCACCCATGTACCTCACTCGCCTTGGCCTAGATTGCCTCTGTGCAAAGGGGTAGGCACCAGAGTCCTGACTCACCACCCATAGACATTCTCCATCAGCATGCTGGAAAGGCCCCACTAGTGGCTTTCTTTTGACCTATCTTATACCCAAACTGAGTTAATTTAAGTGTCCTATTAATTATTTTAGGCTACAGATTTGGTTAAATAATATGACAAATAGACCAACACTGGTGTGGTGGTGTGAGCCAGGTATGGTGTTTTTGTCGGCTCTCCAGAAGTAGCTGGGTGCTTTGGGGAAGAGAGTGCTGACGCCCACTCCATGCTCTCCTTGGGTCAACATCCATCTCATTTGCTTGGTCCAGCATTGTCAGCTTGCCCATCTTCTTGCTGATTCTGAGGTCTCATTTCTATTCTGCCCAAAGCGTGTGCATGTCAGCAAGGTGTCTTACAACAGAAAGAACAGGAGGACCTTTGGGGTAGGCACTGAACAGATGTCTGATGAGGATGAACAGATGTCTGATGAGGACCAGGTGGCCCCTGGCTTTTAACAATGGAAGGGGTAGAACATGGAGAGTCTAAGAAAAGGATGTTGTCATTCAAATTGCCACCACTGGCCCTCAGCGTTAAAGAAATTCTGGCTCTCTGTGTTCTCTTCCCAAAACCAAGGCACCATAGCACACTCTCTCAAAACAGTCAATGACATTTGTGTCTCTGGATAGCAGGACACTCACAGACAGCATTTATTGCTGAGTGCTTGTTTTTTAGGGCTTTGCTCCAGCATGAAAGTGTGGTTCCTGATCTGATGAGATGGGACCAAGAAAGTAATAACTTACAGAGGCTAAATGATTTCAGATGCACAGCTCATTCAAAGGGAAAAGTCATCAGTAGTGATAGGGAGAGATTATGGGAGGTGATTCTTCTCAGGTAATGTCAGAGGTAGTGCTCAGTCTTGAAGTTTCAATTTATGACCTAATATCCCTTTTGTCAGTAAGACAATGTGAGATCACACTACATGGAGAAAAGGGAGGTATGTTAAACAATATGGGAATTGTAATTTCCTTTCGGAGATACTCATAAATCCAAATAGCCTGATGGAAAATTACTGAACTACTCAAAGAAAGGTAACGAGAGGGTAATATTTTGTGTGACAGGAATTGAAAGCTTGTTGCGCGTGGGTCACTGGCCAGCAGTGACCACGGAACACTGTGGATGGCTCGACGATAAACACGCGAGAAAAAACATGCACAGAGACAAACTAGTTTCTGTGGGGAAGTAGGGACGGAATGGCCACCCCCCCTAGTGGGGAGCGCACCGATTTACAGTCCATACCTGCTTTTATTGGGCTCATGCTACATAATAATTCAGGTAAAGTACAGTACTCATTAGGGGAAGTAAGGAACTATAGAAAACAAAGAACTCTGCCCGTCTATTGAGTTGGGGGGTCAAAGAGCTGTAAGACTGAGGAACAAACTAACTTCCTCCTAAGACCCTTCTCATTCAACTGAGAGCATTCTAAACAAAGAAGGTTTCACAGTAATTTACATGTTCTTTCTTAGGCCTGATCACCCCGGGAAATCTGCACTTCTCAGTACCGAGCTGTACTACCCTGTCATTGTTTCAGGCTTAGGTGGAGCAAGGGAACTAAGGCCACCGAGAGATAAGGAGATTTTCTTCCAGATGCTGAGAACTCAGACTTTGTCAAAGCCGAGGAGTGAGGGTCCATCACCCCCTTTTGCTGCAGCCCCCCAAGTCCTTCTTTTGGGGGGGGCCTCCCAAAAGTGATCGTGCCTGGCTTAGGTTGTTCCCCCGTGGGGAATCTTACCTGTCTTTGGCTAACCGACCAAGCTTTGGGGGGTTCAGTCATGAATAAAGCAGCAGAAGCAGCATTCCTGCCAGGGAGATAAGCTTTTGTCTCCTTGCTGGCTTACGGTTCCAAGGGCGTTCCCTTAGCCTTAGCTTAGGCGGGGGTTTCAGCCTCTGATACCAGTCAGGGCGGTTCCCAACAAAGCTGACCACAGACCCAAACAATCTGCATCAGAACCCTGGGAGAGGGTCTCCCCTCCCACAGGCTTGTGCCCAGCCATGCCCCGAGATCATACAATTGCAATCACACATCAGGGGGAGATCCTGGCCTTAAGGGTCTCAGTGCCCAACAATCTTCTTCAGGTGTGCAGTGATTTTCAAGGAACACAGAGAAAATAATTAGTCCTATCTGGGTTTCCTGAGCTCCCCCTAAAGTGAGTGTTCTCAAAAGGGAGCCTCAGAGGTAACCTGCCCAAGCCTTTCTCTGCCAAGGAGGAGAGGAGGGTAGATTCCAGCTCTGCTGGCAGGGAAGTCTAGACAGTCACATGACATAAGGTACATATTCAGCTCAGGCCTGACAGAGGTGCCCTGCCTGGAGGAGCACTTGGTTCCCAGCCTGTGGTGGTTGAATATAGAATACCAGAAGGCAGAGCATCAGACCCACTATGCACCCCCGCCCCACTTCAGCAGCCAAAGCTACACCCTTCTTATGTGATCCAGGGGTGGTCAGGGGAGAACTCAGGGCTGCAAGTCCATGCCAAATAGGGGAAAATTCCTCCTGGTCCCCTGTCTTCTTGGCATTATCAAGAAGATCACACAGGAGAAATTACATGGGTGTTCTCTAAATGGAGAAAGTAATAGACAGGTTAGTTTATCTATTCACTCAGAACAGACCTCACATGACTAAATGATGCCATGAAAGGAAATGAAGGGAAGGGAAGGCAGTCATTTCCCTCCATCAAATACACACCCCTCTCTCAGCTGTGCTGTCAGAGAATGCAATCATCATTTGACAAAGGAAAGAGGATATCCCTAACAGCCTCACACAATTTCACATTGCAAATACAGTGATACTAAAACTCTCTGCATTAACAACTACTCAAGAACTAAGAACTAAGTCAAATGGATAACACATTTTGCAAAACAACTTTGCTAAAATGTCTTCACAAATCATTCAAAATCAAATGTCAAATTTTGAGTTGAAATGAAACTCTGCATCAGCTTTGGCCATATTCAATTAATTTTGAACCCTCTGCCATTCAAGGGCTTCCTTCCTGAAAGGTCAGTAAAATAATGTTGGATTTGAGATTAGAACCAGATGAACAAGTAACCAGGAGATAAAAGGTGTGATACTGAAGGAAGAATAATCTTAGAACTGCATTTCAAGCAGGAAGTTGTCCCCCTCTGCTTTTCTCCCCAAGTACTTAGAGATCATTAATCTCAACTCAGATCCTGATTAAAGGTGCAAAGATATAAATAAAACTCAGGGAGTAGAATATTACGTGCACTTACACTTTTGGATCCTCCTGAACTGGGGGTGACTTTATGTGGGAGCAGGAAAGAGCATACTTGTTTTGGCTGATTTTAATAAGTGCACTCCGAGGGCAAAATTCCTGTAATAATACCAAAGAGTTAACTCAATTGCAATCAGACATGTCCACAATTCAGATGTAATTTTATTCTAGCTCAACCCATTATGATAGCTATTAGCCATTATCCTATTCAGAGTGATATTTGAGAGTGCAGTTTAAATACAGAGCCTAGCTTGACAATTATATACTGAACAAAAATCATCGTTGAGTCCTCTCTGTCATTTCTCTGTATCCTGGATCACTTGCCAAATCCGTCCACATAAGATGCGGTGGGTGCAGACCCGCACATTGTATAACCATCGTCCCATCTTTATTTTGGCCTTGGCCATCTTTTTCCTGGTCTTATAAACTATCACCATCACCCCCTGATGAATGCCCTACTTCAGCCCCATGAGCCTCCCAGCATCTCTATCAGAACTGTTTCCAGTGTCCATTTCCCTGCCCTCATAACCCTGACTGCTGCTCTGGTTTCCAGGGCCCCACTGCCCCATGGGTAAATCCAAGGTCCTTCCTGGGCTCTGAGTCTCTTGCTCAGAGATGCTGAGTCAACTGTTTCATCCCTCTCCACACCCTGGGGACAGCCCGAGGATGTCTCTTCAATCATTCCTTGATTTGCTTTCTCCTCTCTCGCCTGGTAGATGCGCCCAGAGCAGTGCCACCTGGTGTGCTTCCCAGCTGCCTCATGACTGTCATCCAAACAGCTCCAGAAAAGTCCATTTTTTTTTTCTCAGGGCTTTTCCTGGGTTGAGGAGAAGGCACCTTTTCTCCCTCTTGTTCTGTCAGATTGCAATTTGGTGCCTCTGGGCCCACTGGCTCTGACAGTCTTCACCCTTTGCCCTTAATCCTAGAATTCATTTCCCATGATACCTTCCCTGGCAAATATCCTCATACTACAGTCAAGAACTGACTAGATATTTTTATTCCGTAGAGTAGACAGTCAGACACAGAGGTTTAGAGTGCAGACCATGGAGCCAGGCTGCCTGTTCCACACTCACCCTGTGTGCGGCTGAACCTCTCTGCTTCAGTTTCCTTATCTTGAAAATGGGGTAATGACAGTTCCCACTTCACAGGTTCTGAACACTCAATTGCCCACTATGGGTAAAGCACTTGGATTAGTACCTGTGGCATGTCCTAGGTGCCTAATAAAGTTAGCCACTGTGCTTTTATTTGCTCTTTTTTGCTCACCAATCTATTTTCCAGACATTAAGTAGTCCACTCAAGCTAAGTTCTTTCCATTAGAAACGTCATTTATTCAAATAGTTTAAAAAGCAACTGAATTGTGAGAACCTTCTGTTCATTGAGCTGTGTCACGGTGCAGAGACGATGGGGCCGCAGCTCCTGCCTTTAAGGAGCTGGGGGGTTGCTGAGGAAGCCAGTGTGGGGAAAGGGCAGGACAGGGGACCCTGAGGGCCTGAGCAGGAAGCCACAACTAGGTAGAATCTTTCAAGTGACAGGAGTGTCCATGGCAAAAGGATGGGAAGGGCCGTCCAGGAAAAGGGACAGCCCAGGGCCCTAGGAAAGCCACTGGATTCAGGAGGCGGCCGCCTGCGGGGCTGGGGGCCAAGACCACATGGCAGGCCCAAAATGTGCTGGCGTCAAGCTGTGCATTTTCTTTTCTCTGCTTCTTCTTTTTAAAATTTTCAATTACAGTTTACATTTGCTATTATTTTGTATTAGTTTCAGGTGCACAGCATAGTGGACAGACAATCCTATACTTTGCACAGTGGTCCCCGTGTTTCCAGGGACCCCGGGGCCACACATAGTTACTAGATGTTGGCTGTAGTCCCTGTGTTGTACTCACGCCCTGAAGCAGCACATTGTCTGAGACTGAGGGAAGTGTATGTTGTGGGGACAGGGGCATCAGGCAGGCAAGTGATGTTGTCAGATTAGTAAACAGAAAAAGACTTTTTCTAAAACTTTTAGGAACAATGCACTGGGAGGACTGGCAGGGGAGCATAAGGCAGGGGCTTTCTGAGCAGCAGCAGGGAAGCAAGAGAGAGAGAGTGGAGCTGTGAGAACAGGAGGGACCTTGAAGAAGACAAGTGTGCCCCCAGCCGTGAATACAGAGTGGGACCTAAGAAGGCCATTTGACGGAGGAGTGGGAGGTGGAGATGGGAGGACAAGGCTCTTTTAGTAAGGCTCTTTTATATCGTAGAGTGGGCAGAATCTGAGTCACAGGGGGAACAGGCACAGCCAGGAAAATCATTTGTTCAAGACACCTGCAGTGCCAGGAAGGAGCTGGGCATGGCCGCAAGAGCAGAAGGGCACAGAAGCCACTTCCTGCCTTGGGACAGTCCTTTCCCAAATGCAGTTCTACTTACTCTCCGGTTGTTACTCTTCAAAACTGTGTAGAATTTGTCTTCGGCCACATCTGGATTTGGAACTGCTATGACAATGGCAGGGACGTAGAAGTCAAATCCGTTGGGGATCACAATTTTGGCAAATACATAGTCTCCAACCTGTAGGTCAGATCATATTTCACAGCGTACGTTTTGCTTGTTGATGGTATAGACAACATTAATATAAGCTTGTTTTAAATACTCCAGGATTCTAAATTTCATATACATAATCTTTTTCTCAGAAAGTCAATAGTTTTAAAATTCTTTGTACTCATTGGGCCACACCTGGAATTTAGTGATTAGTTTGGGGAAGCCACATTGTATATACCAGCACTTTTTCACCCAACCTAGGGCCTCAGGCATCACCAGCAAGATGGGGAGGGGCCTGGAAACATAGCCTGCCAAGCCTGGTGGTGGGACCCTGGAGTGCTTTGCCTGAAGACCAGAGAGGTATGAACATTGTCTTCATGTACGGTAAGGCCTGTCATGCAGGACCAGGAAAGGAGCAGGTTTGTTGAACATTGCTCTCAGCTCACAGCTGGACTCTATGGGTAAAAGTTACACAGAGAAAGCTCCTAGCAGAAAGGGCACCTTGGGAAGGGACACACAGGCTGCGGGGCATTAGTCAGGAAAAAGTTCACTGACATGCACCCTGGACCAGGCCTAGGGAAGTGGGAACAGACATGCTCTGAATGTGCTCAGTACTTTCCTCCTGGCTCATGCTCTCTAAGGGTCCACAGCAGTGGCATTCTGGGGAGCTTTCTCTTTATTCTCTGGTTTGGTATCAAGGAAAGCATGTCCTCTGCCCTTGTTTTAAATCTATTTTAGTAGATTTAAACTCTTTTCCAGTTCCAGTTTCAAGAGCAGTAGCAGCTACAGCAACTCCATTCTTGGATCATCTATGATCTGTAAAGTGTTAGCAGATCAGGGTCATGAGCAAAGAAATCTCTAGGCAAGGGGTCATAGGAACAGGGGCCATTGCTCTGCCCGTCCAAGTGCATGCCCTTGGCAGGAGCCCAACCAGAGCTCAGCAAAGGGCCCAACAGAAGTTGTTGTCCTCAGAGCACTGGGAATGGTGAAAAAGGACCCAAAGAGGTGCTAGAACAGGTACCTGGAGCAGCGGGCAGGGCATGGCGCCCCCCACAGGCGTGATGAAGGAAATGGGCACAACCTTGGTGTCTCCGTACCTGAAGCCCACCAGTGCATGGGTGGGGCTTATGCACTTCTTCACAATGCCTGGAAGGAATCAAAGTTAAAAAGTGAAGACCAGTAATGTCTGTTCCCTCAAGCTGACCCCATGCTGTTGACTGGGCTGAGTCATAACACGCCTGTCTAGATCAGTATGCCCCCAACTTCTCCACCAGATCGCATTGCACGCCATACAATGGGAAGGCAGGGGGAGTGCAGCAGGGGAGTGCAGCAGGGGAGTGCAGCAGGGGAGTGCAGTCATACAATGGGAAGGCAGGGGGAGTACAGCAGGGGAGTGCAGTGCTCTGGTCTGGGCTCCACTAAGCTGGGCGTTCGGAAAACGTGCACGTGCTTACTCATGCAGGTCACTAGCAGCCATCCTGATGGGACATGCCATTCTTAGAAACAAATACCTTCTTTCTGGACACTTCCTACCATCCGGTTTCCCTATTTATTTATTTTAGCCATGTTCCCTTCAATATCTAATGCTTAAATGTGGAAAATCAATGCTTCGATACTAAAAATCAATGTTATTAAATTATGGAAGTGAAAAGGAAATGTCAATTCTCACCACCAGCTTTTTGTTAGGTAAATGCAGAGGTAAGCAGGTCGGAGCACATCCCACAGCTTCCCTAAAATGTACAACCCAAAGTGATGAGGACCCAGAGCTGGCTGGTTGTCGCTGCCACCTTGGGAATTGGGGCAGGGATCCTGTCTGGCTCACTGTGTTCCAAGGTCTATGTGCATTATCTACTTAAGGAATAACCATATTGTTCAGAATGGACATAACAAGCTGATGACCTGGTTTATCAGGATGCTCAGAGGCAAGGAGGTAGACTCCTTTCCTCTATTTCCCCAGACTGGCAGCAACAAGTCTTCAGCAATTTTTTTTTAATCACGCAGAGATGGTGCTGAGGAAAACTTGAGCCAATTTACTTTTCTCTGGGATCCTGGCCAGTAAAACTGATCCCAAGCCTTTAATCTAGTCATTTGTAATCCAGTCATTTTTAGCATTTTCATTCAACTGCCAAATTTGCCTTGGACCCCTCTCCAAGGCTCAAAATCAGAAGACCAAGCAGGAGAGCCTCCTATAATCACCTCCCAGCAAACCTAAGCCCCAGGGAAATGGCAGGTTTGTGGGCCTTGTGCTTGCAAAGAAGAGTTCCATGCCTCAGTCTGTGAGCTCATCTCAAATGCTCAGACCCATAGATGCACTTCTGTAATTCACTCCAAAACACATTTATCAAATTTCAAAGGAAATGCCCTAGTTGTTAGTTCTACACATATGCCTACTAGAAACCAACTCCTGCTGAAGCATTTCCCCACTTAAAAAAGATTTAATTAAACATAACATTCTTGTTTTAACTCTGAGTCTAAAGAGGAAATCTGTCTAGAGACAGAGACTTTGAGATATCAATACAGAGGCAGCACACCAATAATCCATCGTGTCCCAGACACACCTTGCTGTCTTCCTGTCCGCGCCACCATCTGTGGTAGGTCCCACTATTTCTTCATGGCCCAAGCCAGGCACCGAGTCACATCCCAACCCACTCCTCACCTGCTCTTCACACAGCAGGGGGAGCACCCTTTTTAAAACTTTAAGTGTGACTGTATTCCTCCCTGCTTTAAATGTGGCTCCCTGATAAAATTCACACCATTTAACATTAACACTTAATAAACAGCCCTGCACTGATGTGCCTCTGAGAAGAGCCTCATTATTTTCTACACTTCCTTTGCATTCCAGTAGCTATGAAATGTCCATGTTCTAGGGGAAGCACAGTTTGAGAACTTCTAGTCTCCAATAACATATTGTTTAACAAAGAAATCTCACAAAATAATTTATCTACCTGGGAAATAAAAGCCATTTTCATCACATCTTGCGATAACTTTCTGGCCTTTGAGGTGATCCAGTTTTTTGGATTTGATTTTCTTTGTTGAATTTCCTTGAAATTTCTGTTGCTGAAAGATAAAACATGAATAATTGATAGAAAAAATCAATACAGGCAGTGCAAGTCACACATTTAGGTACCTCGGGTTCTCTGTTGAGAACCACAAGGCACATGTGCAGTGGCCACTGCTTCTGGGGAACTTCCTGCCTCTGTTGTTGGGAAGAGGCTCTCAACGCTCAACTGACCTGAGAACCTTGCCTGCAGAGAGTGAGACAGGATTTTCTCTCTAAACCTAATCAAGTTTTGTTAAAACAAAACCAAACCAAAAAAGCCAGCCTTTTCCAGATAACTTCAACAGAATTTAATATTTTAAATTTTAGAATTTAATTTTAAATTTTAATAGAATTTTAAATTCTAGAGTTATGTCTTAAAACATAATATCCAATATACCCATTATATAATCTACAATGCAACACACAAAAGAGCGAGCCAATATGAGCAGTTCTCAAGGCACAAAGCAATCAATAGGTCAAATGCTAAGATGACCCAGCTGTTGAAATAACCAGATAAAGGCTTTAAATCAGCAATTATAACCATAGCCCGTGATGTAAAAGTAAGCGCTTTTGAAGAGTGGCAATGTTTTTTTTTATTGTTGGTCAAGTACAGTTGTCTCCATCCCCCGCCACTACCTCCCACCTCGGCCATTACCACCCCCCACCCCTGATCCCACCTCCCCTTGGTTTTGTCCATGTGTCCTTTATGCATGTTCCTGAAAACCCTTCCCCTTTTGAAACAGAAACTATAAAAACAATGAAATGGAAATTTTAGAAGGAAAAATATCTGGAAGGACTCAGTAGCAGAATTGATATGACAGGATAGACATATCAACAGAAATTATTCAATCTGAAGAACACAGAGAAACAAAGATTTAAAAAATGAGCAAGGTCCTTCCTCCCTCTTTCAGATGATCCCTTCAAAGCCCAGCTCAGTCATAATCTCCCTGGGAAGATTTCACCAGGCAGTTTCAGAAAAAGCAAAGGTATATGCTCACAAAGAATATTATGTAGCCATTCATATATAATATGTACAGAAAGGCAAATTTATTGATTATTGGTTACAGAGGCTGAGGGTGCAAACAGATCAACTGCAAGTGGGCCTGAGGACCTTTCTGGGGTGATGGAAATTGCAAACACTGGGCTGTGGTGGCGGACAGCTCAGCCAGTTTTACTACACATCTCTAAATTGAAATAGGTGATTTTTATGGTGTCAAAATTCTATTTCTGTAAGTCCAGTTTTTATGGCAGCCATTTATAGTTTGCTCCACGTGAATGCACATGATATTTTGCACACCATGGATGACAAGAGCCAGTGAGTACAGAAGCTTCAGTAAAGTAACAAACAGAAACAGATTCACAGAGACAGAGGACAGACTGACAGCTGTCAGAGGGGAAGGGGCTGGGAGCTGGGTGAGGAGAGTGAAGGGGTGAGGAAAATAATTCCTCATAGACAGACTGCAGTACAATGATTACCAGAGGGAAAAGGGGTGGGGGAGGTAGGAGAGGGGTTGGGGGTGGGAAATGGTGACAGAAGGAGACTTGACTCGGGGTGGTCAACATACAATACAATCTACAGATGATGTGTTATAGAATTGTACACCTGAAACATATTATTATTATTTTATTAACCAATGTCACCTCAATAAATTCAATTAAAAAGTAAACTAATGAAAGAAAGAAAGAAAGAAAGAAAGAAAGAAAGAAAGAAAGAAAGAGAAATAAACCAAACATGCCTTTTTCTTCAAATCACTACATTATAGAAACTGGGGGTTTTCCTTCCTAGATTTTTTTCCCTTTCTTGATCATTAAGTTATTAATTCTTGGGTTTCTCAAAGAAATTAGTCTTTCTTCCCAGATTGCCCAGCAGCATCATTCTTCAGCTCCTCCTCTTTGCAGACCATCAAACGCCCCTCTCCTCCACAACACAAAGCCGACAGCAGGTATTTTCACATGTATTTCGATGTCATTTGCTTGCAGCGCTAAAGCTGTATCATAAATAAACTATTAAATGCATATTTTATGAGGTCATCTATAAGATTCCACTTAAGAAAGTCTCTAATTTATGAGGCAATTGACTACAAAAACTTAAAAAACTTCAGATGGTCTGAGCACCATTTGCTCTTGGGTCATTATTCAAGTTCAGGGCAGTTCGGATATAAGTGGGCTCGCTTCCATGGTGCCCTGATGTCCTGGGTTCTCTGGTAGCCTCTCTCAGTCAGACCTGTTTGGACATGCTTTCCAGGTTCATTAAAACAAGTGGGGGTATGGTTGATTTCCTGGGAGATGAAAACTGAGAGCCAGGTCCTCAGAAGTGAAGAAATAATGAACTAAGGGGTTAGAGTCTCTTGAAGGAATTGTTGGATATTATCAAATCTTCAGCCTATGCAGCCTATGCAGGGACAAAAATGCCAGATGAGCACTACCCTTTAGTTTATGATGTTCCCATTTAGCTGGCTTTTGCTTGGGTACCTCCCTTCTCAAGGAATTTTTTTTACTAATGCAGCCAGTAGGTCAGCATTACTGGTTTATGGTGAATGTTATCTGCTTGTTCCTGGGTGTCACCCAGAGGAGGGACCTAAGCACGCCTTTCCATGGGAGATGCAGAATGGCCTGAAGTCTGGAATGGCCTTGAAGGGAGGAGCCTGGACTAGGACACAGGAGAACCAGGGCTGAGTGCTTCCCAGCTGGCTGTGTGCCTTTGGGCAAACTTGTAAACTTTCTGAGCTTCAGTTTCTGCACGTGTAAAGTGAGGGGATGAAATGATCTCTAACCTCCTCTAGTTCCACAGTTTTGTCCAGGAGAGTCTAGGCCTTTTAGGAGACTGTTCTGCGTGGTGTGGGCCCAGCTCCCATTCAAAGATGCACAGGACCCATGCCCATGGATAGGTTCTCCCATGGGGAATCAGGCCTACAGTGTGCCTCAGCTGTTTTGAGTCTTGCTCTTGCTAAAAAACTCCCTCACCCTGATTTGAGACAGCAAATATTTACTGCAAAGTAACTTCCTAAAATCCATGCTAAACCTTCCAAGGATGAATGTAACCATAACCAGTTCAACCACTTTTCCCTTTGCATTTGCAAATATCCTTCTTCTGTGATGTGATTAGCGGCACTCTCTCCTTTGTCTCCTGTAAAAGGTAACCACCTAACGTGAACCTGTGCATAGTAAATGAGGACCATCATGTAATGTGCCCAATAAAGGCCAGTCACGGCAAGGGCTAAGGCTTTTGCTCCCCTTGAGAGAAAAGCCATGCTGTCCCTTTTTCTCCACCAGACTCGGTAGTCCGTGTGAATGTCTCTTTTCATCCATAATGACTTGGACACTGCAGGCCAGTGTCTGCATCAGGGCCTCATTAGGCCTTTTTGCACTACGGGAGAAACTGTCAGGCAACCTGTAAACAGGGACAGGAACATGAGAATGAATCCTTGTTTTCGGTTTTTACAATTTGAGGGAAATGTACCAGTCGGAACGATGAACATATATAGCAGTCTCCCATCCTCAGACTCTAAAGAGATGCCCACACTAGTTTCCTACAGTCAGGTAAAAGCCACGTAGAGTTTTCCAGCAGATCCATGATAGAATTATTGATAGGATTTACAAGTGCAAGAGTGTGGAACATGACAAATTAAATCAATTGTTACTTAAAACCTTTACATAAAGGTAAACTGCCATAAAGGTTACCTTTACACAAGGTTAACCTCCATGGCCACCTACTCCACACCAGCAGGACTTGCAGCAAGCACCAGCCGCCAGGGCAGTGCAGTTGGCCACCGAGGTGCCACCTGGCCTCTCTGCCTCCGGACGGATAACAACGCGTCATCTCAGAAAGATGTCATATCGCTTCCAGAAAGGCCTTTTCCCCCTTTAGAGTTAATCAACATGACAGGCAAGCCATTTATTAGAACCTATGCCTAGATACCTCTCAAAATTCTAAATGAGTATAATCACATAATTTATTTACCTAGCTCCGTTTTCTCTCTAGTATCCAAATTTTGACTTGATTCTTTCAATATCCTAGCCTGACTCTAACTTGTGAGATTGCTTTCTACACTGTCATAGGTACAAATCTCTGTGAAGTTGCCTGAAATCATCAGAGAGCTCTCTTTTTCCCTGTAGTTGTCACTCCCCAATTCATCTGATACAGGACAACCATACACTCTGCAAAGACCCCCCACTGGACAACAGTAGTGGGGGTCTTTGAATGGTAGCTCTGCAGATGCTTCCTGTTCATTTTTACACAATGAACATGCCACCTAAATATGCCTTCTACATGGTTAAAAAGTATCTTTCTTCAAATTATTCATTTTCCTCTGAGTTTACCTGAAAGGGCTTTGCATACATAACTCACATTTACTGTTTTTTATTTACAGCTGTTATTACTATGGGCAACAATTCGTTCCTCATTCTCACAGCACGTAACTTTACGGAAGAAACCATTCACTGTGCACTCAGCGACTCACCCAGGCTACAGTCAATTCAGCTCCATGGCAGAAGTAGGGGAACCATGAAAAACAAACCTGTGTGGACAGCGCTAATACAAGCGCTCCTTCCACAGAAATAGAGCCCTGGTTTCCAGGACGGAAGGACTTCGACCTGGGCAGTTAGACAAGCCATCCCTTCAGCCACGATGTTGGCAGCACCTTTCCAGAAAAATGGTATCTCACAGTTTTCAAATCTTGCCCAAGACCCTAAGACACGGTACAGCCCACCCAGAGACCATCCCAGCCCTGATGCTTTCCTCCCACATCTCACCCACCGCACAAGCCAACTACACACCTGTCGCTGTGTGTTAAAAAGAAATCCTTGGAGGATGAGAGTTGGAGGGGATGCGGAGTGAGGCCAGAAATGCCAGCACTAAGTCCATAAGCCCACGTGTCTCCAGGCTCTGGCACCTGAGCGCAGCTGCGTGCCAGCGTCCGTGAGGAGTCAGAGGGCTGAGCGGCTCCGTCAGGATGCTGCCCCGGGGTAATGCCATTTCGCCTTGTCTCCACATCCAGAGAATCCCAATTCCCTATTT